AGTGAAGAGGACAAGCTGTTGATAAACACAATGAAGAGCGAAGGTGTAAACCTAATACAAACACGCAGACATAGCCTGCGCATGATACACGAGAGCACAAGTGAATGTAATAACAGAAAACAGAAATAGTTAAAAGAAAGTGTAAAGTTAGAAAAGTCAAACCCTTAAAACAAGAGGCAAAAGCAAGTCTTAGGCAAGTGTGAACAGTTACTGAGGTACAAGGGCAGGGCAGTAAAGCAAAAGTTTTTGTTAGTATATCGGGGAAAACAACAAGTGGCCATGGGCCTAAACATGAGGTGCTTGGGCTATTTGAGATGGCATGTAAAGAGTAGGAATAAGAAGTCTAGTAACAAACTTGAACAGACTAATTCCCAGCACAATAGGAGTCTCTCGGTAACACAAGTTATGTTTAGAGAGGCTGCAGAACCAAACCAACTGTTCTTTCAAATAGAGACTTGGAGTAGAGTAGCAAATAATTTATGCAATAGATGAGGCACGCCTTCATGAATAGACTCGCATTTGAATGGTCTCCACTCCAGGTATTTTAGAATTCCCACCTGACTGAAGCAGGCTTTAGGATAACAATTTATTTAACTAACAACAAGGAATAACATTTGAAGTAAGCACAACCCTGATGCTGACATAATCTAGCCTGGATGTGTTCTCTGTGTAAGTCTCTGCAACGGGTTCCTTTCTCCAAGTAGGAGAGAATCCGTCAGCGTCAACACTGAGTGAGGCTGTGCATAAAGTTCTGCAAGATGTGTGGCAACGTCCCATCTTCTATAGCACAGGCAGAATCGATTTAATTTCAAACACTAGCCAGGGGGATTGCTTGTGTAAATGCTAGTTAACATGGGCAAGGGTTGCAGAACGTGGAAGTAGGAGACAGCTTATCAATACCAAGGAGAACCACAGACCATTCCTCCTGCTGAGAAACAGCATGGACAACAGCATTGCAAACTCCCCCATGCTGTCCCCTAACATACTTAATCATTGACCTGAGGGGGACCACTATCAGGGGTAAAGGGAAAGCTCAGTCTCATGTCCATTACATTCCTGGTATCAGCTGAGACAGTCAAGTGCATCGGTTCTGAGGAGGAGTTTTCTGATGCAACTGAAATGGACTGAGAACCACCAAGGGCTTGATCCCATTAAGTTGATGGGAGTTTGGCCATTGACTTTAATGAGAACAGGATCAGTGTCCCAATTCATTTCATGTAGGCAACTAAAAGCTCAGTGGTTTGAGCATTGGCCTGCTAAACCCAGGGTTGTGAGTTCAATCCTTGAGGGGGCCAGTTAGGGATCTGGGGCAAAAATCTGTCTGGGATTGGTCCTGCTTTGAGCAGGGGGTTGGACTAGATGACCTCCTGAGGTCCCTTCCAACCCTGATATTCTGTGATTCTAAAGAGCCAGCAGAGTGTAACAATGTCTCATGATAATGATCAACCTGAGCTGGAATGCAACTAGCAACTGGGTGTCTACCCGCTGTTACCAATTCAAGAAGTCATCCAGTCCCATTCCAGAGCAATTTGGTTCTGTTTGGATGTGCATGTATTGGCAAGTTCACTTTGGAAGGAAAAACCATATGCACAACTACAAAATGGGGAATAACTGCCTAGGTGGCAGTACTGCCAAAAAGGATCTGGGATTATAGTGGACCACAAACGGAATGAGTCAACGATGTGATGCAGCTGCAAAAAAGTTAACATGATTGTGGGGTGTATGAATGGGAGTGTTGTATGCAAGACCCAGGAGGTAATTGTCCCATTCTACTTGGCACTAGTTAGGCCACATCTGGGCACCACAATTTAGGAAAGATGTGGACAAATTGGAGAGAGTCCAGAGGAGAGCAACAAAAACGATCAAAGGTTTAGAAGACCCAACCGCTGAGGAAAGGTTAAAAAAACTGGGCATGTTAAGTCTTGAGAAAAAGAAGATCAAGGGGGTGGTGCTGATAACAGCCTTCCAATATGTTAAGGGCTGCTACAAAGAGGCCGGAGATCAATTGTTCTCCTGGTCCACTGAAGGTAGGACAAGAAGTCATGGGCTTAATCTGCAGTCAGGGCGATTTAGGTTAGATATTAGGAAAAACTTTCAAACTATAAGGGTAGTAAAGCTCTGGAATAGGCTTCCAAGGGTGATTGTGACATCCCCATTATTGGAAGCATTTAAAAATGAGTTGGACAAACACCTATCAGGGATGGTCCAGGTTCAGTTTGTTATTTATGCTATTTATGCCAGGGCATACATAATACATTTTAAAGTAACGGATCAATGAAAAGATTTTTTTTTTCAGTGGCACATCATAGCTTTAAATGGTACAAAGTATAAGACTGTGACTCACAGCATTTAATAATCTTAATATAGTAGATAAAGGAGGCAACAAATTTTAGCTGATCCTTTGTAATGTACTAATTAAAACCTCCCAGAAAATAGGCAAAATACCAAATCCTTACTTAGGAAAATTTCCTACTGAAGTTAATGGAACTTCCCACAGAAGAAAATGGGAATTTTGCCTTAGTAAGGACTGAAAAACTACAAAATGACTTCAGGGTTTTTACCCAAGACAGTCATTGTGTCAAGAATCTAAAACAAAGCGTGAAGATTAAACTAAGAATGCCCCTTAATTCTTGTGAACAGGGTCTTGGCTTTCTAACCAATCACCAACCATTGACAAAAGAACCCATGTCTTGATTACAACAATTAAACTGAAAAGGGCAAGAAGTTCTTTGAAGTCAATGAGAGTCTTGCCCCTGACTTCAATGAGTGCGGGATCACATGCCTTTCTGATAGTAGTCTTTGTTTAATCTTTTCCCCTTTCAAAATGCCAATTGATAACGTTTGTTTTCATTGTAATCCAGAGACAGCTATTAAGCAGAGGGACTCCAGTCCATACCTGCACTGATTTATTTATTTTTTTTAAACGTAATTCCCCTTGGAGCTACTGTTCTCGGAATAGAGTTACCAGGTCTGAATTATGAATCCGAAGAAGTGGGCTGTAGTCCACGAAAGCTTATGCTAATAAATCTGTTAGTCTCTAAGGTGCCACAAGTACTTCTGTTCTTTTTGCGGATACAGACTAACACGGCTGCTACTCTGAAACCTGAATTAACACTGCCATTCTGCTGTATCTATTGGCTGTAGATTTTCAGGGCCAGACCTAATGAAGAAAATGTGACTCTCCAAAGCTTACCCAGTTTGTTTTTAGTTAGTCCCAACCAAAGATATCACCTACTGATTCATGACTTTTTTTTGTTTAATAAAATTCTTTGTATCAGAATAATTAAGCAATAAAATGTGTCAGCTTGTGAACTAAAGTGTATTAATTCACAGCTACTGGAGTGCATTCGGAGGCAGGATTCCAGGGACTGAATGGCATTTCCAGTTGTAACAAGCTGTGAATTATTGCCCCATAATTTAACACCTAAAGTGTCTTTTTGCAATGATAAGATGTTTTTCTTTATATTTCAACATACAAACTAGACAGATCCACACACATGCACGCCATCGAGCAGCAGTTGAGAACATTGTAAGATTCCATCCGTCTGACGTGCACCATATTTTTCTATCTACTTACTATGAACGGACGCCAGCACAGGCTTCTGGCTGCAATGCGTTTGCAGCCCATAAAGCCAACAGGAACTTTCATCTAACCTCCAATGAAAATTGGCACAGCTGTTGCTCTGTTGGCAGTGCCTTTGAAAATGTTGCCGCACGTGACTGAGGGAAGCGGGTTTTCAAACGTCCGTGTGCGCCTATCTTTCTGATGGAAGGCTGCGTCTTTAAATGCGACTCCGAATAGGAAACGAAAGATGCTTTGACAAATCAGTTGTGCAGCAACGCTGCTGGGTCCTGCTGGAAGCTGAGGAAGAGGGATGTTCAATCCCATTCAAACAGAAAAGGCAAATTTGAGCTCTTAATGACTTTTGGCACCCCAGGGGTTTACGGTCAATGGTGCTACCAGATCATTTCCACAAAATAGAGATGAGAAAAGGAACATTTAAAAGCCAAGCCCATTTAATAGGGCTGCTACACAAGGATGCTACTGATCAGACCTCACTTATCAGTGTGTGGGGGAAATAAAACCAAAGATTAGTCCCACTAAAGTCAATAGCTTCTTAAAGCCATAATATGAAGACATTTAATTTGGATCACCATTTCCAAACAGCAGGGTATATTCTCTACTTGGTGCACATTTGTACACCTCACTAATGTTCAATTAGGATTACGTGAACCATAAAAAGTCTCCAATGAACATGTGTATATTTATTTCACCATTGGAATAATAAAGATAGCCACAGAATCAGAACCCCAGAGTACTGACATTCAGATAAAAATGGGACACAGATATGACTCACCCCACGTTTTATTTTTGTCTTGCAAAGAAAACCATGCGCGACAAGATTCTGCCCTGAAGCTTTCAGAAGAGTGGGGCCAATGTCGGATCTATTCAGAAATGTCGTTTTTTTTCCAGAATCAAAAATCAGCTTTGCAGTTTTTGTTCATCTTTACACAATGCTTATTACAAAAATCAGATCACTGGATTTTTTGGGCTGACTTTTTAAAACCGGAAATTGAATCAGAACAACTTATTGTTGTCACCTGAAATATTTCTGAATCACAGCCATTGAGACATGAGAGGGCCCAATAGAGAGACACAAAGGAGAGTTTTTGCCCATTGTTTGCTAAGGGCTCGCTCTTGTCACCAGGTTTGCTGTATTTATGTGAGTAGCCCCACAGACTGTAATGTGACTAGTAGTGAAAGTAAATCCTTTTCAAACTGGGTAAGGATTGCAGAATCAGGCTCTAAGGAGGAAGACAAGGTATACTGGTGATGTAAAAGGCCATCTCCTCGGTCAACCATTTATGCTTATAGTTTATCTTTTTCTAAAAAGCTAAATCAGAGAATACAAGTATGTTTGCTACATAACATATATAGTGTCAGGTATATACTGGATGTTACATATTCAGTTCACACATATACGGGATGAGCTACTTGCCGTCGACACAGGAAGGTCTGTTTCGTGTTGTCCCGGCCACTTTCCCAGGGAGGCAGGAGCATTTTACTGTTTGTGATCTTTCCTCAATTCGATTCTTATTACAGCATCTGTGTGCTGCTATAACTTCACACGTTCCTCCTTCTGGCAACAAAGAGAGAATATTGACACGCTGATTAGGAAGAACTGCAATGGCTAGTCTAAGCAACCAAGCATGCTACTCTCACCCTTTGTGAAGAAAGGTTCTGTATAAGAAGGATTAAGAAAGTGTTGTCTCCCATTACGGGCAATTTTGTCTAAGGTAGGTATTAGTATACTTCAGAGGCAATAGGAAATGCAAAATAAATGCTCAAGAGTAGATACCGCACCAAAGTCTGCTTCTCTGCATTGTGAGTAGCTCCACTGACATGAATAGAACTTTTTGGTGTGAATTCATAGAATTATAGAATATCAGGGTTGGAAGGGGCCTCAGGAGGTCATCTAGTCCAACTCCCCTAGGGAATCTATCACAACATGGACCTGAAGGCGTTCATGCAGAATGAAAATGTCTGCCTGTTTTACATGTGTTCTATTTCATCTCTCTCCTCCCATACTACTAGGTTACACTCTGACACAATCCCAGTATCTCAGAGAATCCACCTGGAAATGAACCCACTTCCAAATCCTCAGATTCGCCTCTAACTGGGTACCCGTATTCTGCAGGGGGAGAATCAGTTCCCTAGGACTCACAGCATGGTCCAATTTTGCTTTCCTTCGCACCTAAAACAATGGCCTGATCTGGCAGTTCCAATACAGGGAAAATTCCCATGGAGTCTAATGCCATGAGGCCCAAATGTTCCTTTCCTTCATTTTGTGTTTTACTCAGAGCATTTCCAAAAGATTGATTATACTGACAGATAAATGGAGAAGGAGTCTACACTTGGGGCTAGAGGTGAGATTCCCACCTCACACAGACATACTTGGGCTAGCTCTCATCAAGCTACCGTGCTAAAGGTAGGAGCGTAGCTGCTGTATTGTGGGCAGTGGGGAGTGACAGCACGGCTCGCAAGTACAACCCCTCTTGGACCCTGGGAGATGTATTCACGGTGGCTAGCCCATGCCCTTGTTCACAGCCTGTGCTATGCTACTATTTTTAGCCTGCTAACTTGATAAGAGCCAGTGCCAGTAAAGTTACGCGAGCCAGGAGCCACCTTCCTAGTGCCAGCTGCAGACATAGCCAGAGATAGACAGTGTAGGGCTTCTGACAACACATTCCTTGTGGCATATGCTATGTACGTAAATGACACGACCGGAGCATAGGCCCCTTCACTTGAGCAATATAGTACAGGAAGATCAGGCAGCGCATTGGGTTTCTGTGCTGCTCATTAATCTCTCCAGACCTGAGTTCCAATTGCATTTCGCTCATCATTATTAAGTGTTTATAGTCCCAGTTTGTTCTTTAGCAGATATTTATCCACATCATGAACTTGCTGCATAAATTTGGCAGCATCAGTGTAATCTCAATACAAAAATATCCACAATACATACAAGTATTCTCACACTTCTTATCAAACTGTCTGTACTGGGCTATCTTGATTATCACTTCAAAAGTTTTTTTTCTCTTACTTAATTGGCCTCTCAGAGTTGGTAAGATAACTCCCACCTGTTCATGCTCTCTGTATGTGTGTATATATATCTCCTCAATATATGTTTCACTCTATATGCATCCGAAGAAGTGGGCTGTAGTCCACAAAAGCTTATGCGCTAATAAATTTGTTAGTCTCTAAGGTGCCACAAGTACTCCTGTTCTTTTTGCGGATACAGACTAACACGGCTGCTACTCTGAAACAATACATACAAGAGCAGGACATGTCCGAAGGCTCACTAGGGTAGACGATGAAAGCAATATTATTTTAATCCCACCACGAGATGCTACGGCGCAATGCTTTAGCGACAGTGAACCACCTAATGGAAAAGGTCCATTGTTTCTATGGATCAAAAATCCAAAGGCTAGATTGTAACCGTACAATCAGCCATGAGAACAAGCAACGAGGAGCTGCCCCACAACAGCACACCAGATAAGTTAGGACTCAATTCCTCCCCTGCTTCCCCTTGTTCTGGGAGAGGAGTAAGTTAGTTCATTCCTTTATGTGGCTACTCCCGGCCTGTGCACCCAGCCAGCTACTCTGAATAGGGATCTGGGAGAAGACACGAGCCAGGGCTTCCCTCACTTCCTGCCCCTCACTGCCCACTGACACGGTTGCAGTGAGAAGTAGTGGGCATGTAGCCCTGCTTTCCTCCCTTCAGCTCAGGTCACAATCTCAGCAGGGCAGTAAGGGGAGTGGGCAAACTTTCTTCCCTCCTACTCTCCTCACTCTTCTGCACATCTCAGGCGGTGCTGTGAAAATCTAGCCCAAAATAAATGAGACCTATCGCTGTAATTACAGTCATGTGCAGTCCAGGAAGCAGGGCCGGCTCTGGCTTTTTTGCCGCCCCAGGCAAAAAAGCCTCCCGCCGCCCC